CTTGAACATTCAGGAATAATATTAAGTTTAAGACTTATCGAAAGAACTAGTGATGATGATGATGATGATAGTCTTATTTACGTAATACACGGACAGCCCAGAGTTACTGATATATTTTAAAAGAAATTGTTTACAGGTTGTTTTAAGAATGAGTAAATGGACAGAATGTTTACTTTTTCACAAATGTTATTGATTGTAACTCAGTATAATTGTTATCAACGCTACAGATCAGTAGTTAAACAAGTGGAAAGCCTGAGAAAAGAAAAAAGATATTTTCATACGGAGAATAAACACGGAAAATTTCAAGCTATATTAGGCGACAACAGTTGCTAAGATTTTCATCACTTTGGCATTGGTATACTTCAAATGTTCATATCTCCAAGAGGCAAGGTAGTTTTTACTGAAATTTCCCATTGTAATATAGAAAATGAGTGACGATGGTGTGACTAGCAGATAATATTTTATTGTATTTTGAGCTTGTAATTAAGATGCTTAATATATTTTCTCAGTAGTAAATAATTATTTCTCTTACTAGTTAGGTGTGCTTCCAGTTTTCTAACTAATCCAGACATTTTTTTGTTAACCTAAGTAAAAGAAATACAGATGAACTGTATACTTAAACTCATTCAGTTTGTGTTTAATGCCGAAAACATTATTTACAGACAAATAATCGATAATGTTTTTTATTCTAGATTTAAAACAGATTCAATATTTCTCTCATCAATTAAAGATAATAACAGATAAGGAAAGATTCAGTGTAATTAGGAGATAATACTCACTTTTGCTGCTAGATGTTTGAACTTTTATTTACTTTAGGAAGTGAATTTATAATTTAATTATTTGAAAAGTTTAAGAGTGAGTATGGTTATAAGACCGGTGTTCTTCTGTATAAAAAACTCATTCATAAGTGTTACACTTAAAATTATATCAGTCTACATTAACTAGGTGCATTTGAGGAATTTTTTTATTCCTTTATGTTCCCAGTGAAACATACGGCTTCAAGCTAGAGGCTTAAATTTTCGGTAGCAGTGGTTTCTGTTTTTACGGGATGGGGACACAAGCTTCATGTCCAACCTTCCCTCTTCACCATTTTTATTCCTGGCTTGGCGAGGTAAAGGAGTGCGTTGTCCGAGGATCGGACCATGAGCCACATGTTTAGTTGGCGAGCATTCTATCGCTGTGCCGCCGATACACCATTTGAGGAGTATGATATTCCAAATGATGAAATTCCTTCTCACTATATATGGAAAGTCAATCACCAAAGAGGTGGAACAGAGAAAGCACTGGGTTGAACACTTCAAAAGACTTCTAAATCGTCCGCCACCTACAACACGTCCAGCAATACCAACAACGGAAGCAGAACTACCAGTGAACACTGACCCCCCGACGAAATCAGAAGTCCTGAATGCAATCAAGATGCTTAAAACTGGGAAAACACCGGGACCAGATGGAATCCCAGCAGAGGCTTTGAAAATAGACCCAGAGACAACAGCGGACTTGATGACACCACTACTGGAGAAGGTGTGGAAAGAGGGCAAAGTACCCGAGGATTGGAAGAACAGTTACTTATTCAAACTTCCAAAGAAAGGAGACTTAAGTCAATGTAAAAACTGGCGTGGAATTATGCTTCTGTCCATTCCAAGCAAGATACTAAGTCGCATCATACTGGAGAGAATCAAACAAGCCCTAGATGAAAAACTTCGTCCGGAACAGGCTGGATTCAGGAGAAACAAATCATGTATTGATCAAATCGCCACTCTACGGATCATCATTGAACAAAGCTTGGAATGGCAGTCACCTCTCTATCTCAACTTCATCGACTTTGAAAAGGCCTTCGACAGCGTCGATCGAGAGGTCATTTGGAAACTACTTCGCTACTACGGGGTCCCATTGACAATTATACACCTCATCCAACAGTTATACGACAATGCTGCATGCCAAGTAATCCACAACGGGAAACTTACGGAAGCCTTCGAAGTGAGGACGGGAGTGAGGCAAGGCTGTCTACTATCACCAATGATCTTCCTGATTGCAATTGATTGGATAATGCGACAGACAACGGCAACCAACGAGGGAACAGGCATAAAATGGACTGACACAAAAGACTTGGAGGATCTGGATTTCGCCGATGATATATGTCTGATTTCCCATAAACTGGAAGATATGCAAATGAAAAGTAACAAGTTGGCAGAAGAAGCATCAAAGATAGGACTTCAAGTGAACATAGATAAAACAGAGGTGATGAAGATTCCTGGCCAACAGCAACAACAACAACAGACAACAATCAGTCAGCATAAATGGGAGGAACCTGAAAGAAACAACCTCCTTCACCTACCTGGGAAGCATCGTCTCAACTACAGGCGGAACTGACGAAGACATCAAAGCCAGAATCGGAAAAGCAAGACAAGCTTTCATTACTCTCAAATCTGTGTGGAGGTCAACAGCAATCAGCATCAAAAATAAGATCCGGATTTTCAACTCCAATGTGAAGTCAGTGCTACTATACGGATCAGAGACTTGGCGAGTCATAAAGAGCATCTCAAACAAACTTCAAACCTTCATTAACAACTGTCTCCGCTCAATACTCAAGATCAGATGGCCAGAAAAGATCAGCAACAGGGATCTCTGGGAGCGAACCAATCAGGAACCGATTGTGAAACAAATAGGCAGAAAGAAATGGAGATGGATTGGCCATACGCTGAGGAAACCATCAAGTGACATTACTAGACAAGCCCTCGAGTGGAACCCGAAAGGGAGGCGGCGAGTTGGTCGTCCAAGGGTGACTTGGAGGAGGTCATGTGAAGAGGAGATGAAAACATGTGGGCAGACCTGGAGCAGGGTGAAAAAGTTGTCAGAAAACCGAAGTCAATGGAGGTGCGCAGCTGAAGCCCTATGTTCCTCTAGGAACTAAAGGATACAATAATAATAATATATGGGTTGCAGTGCTAGTTGCAAGAAATAAGTTGATCAAGCCACTATAATATGTCGTGAAGTAAGGTGACATTAGTTGATTGAATGAAAAGCAAGGAGCCAGGTAGTGAGTGTCCTGGTGCTCGTAAATGAAACAGATATTCAGTGTTCAGGAGCCTTACATCAATTAGATTCTAAGTAGTGTTATATGAACGCAAGGGACCCAGTTGAAAATTGAACTGCACGTACTGGATGATCTTGTATGTATATTTTGAGTCTTTTTTTCACTTACCTAAGTCTATTGATTAGGGGCAAAACATAATTATGCAGCAAATGTGATGTAACCCTGCAAATAAGTTGCAAGAGATTATGCAAAACCTAAACCGTTACTAATTTTATTATAAATGTAGACAAAGGTGATGACAGTTCTTTAATATTATTCAAGCAACAAATTTTTCAGCGACCCTTTTTCTATACTGTTTTAATTCTATACCTTGTGTAATGCTGTAATATTTCCACAATTCCCAGATTGTACGAAATTTAGATTATGTAAATTAGTAATCATAAATTTCACTCATATTCATATAAGTACTCCTAAGATATGGGTTACTGTCCGATGAATTGATGTACTCAGTTCACTCGGTTATACTCATATTTATTTTCAAGAGTTAAGTTTGTAAGGATCAGATTTGTTTTTTCGAGGTTAACCACGGATTGACATCAGTTAGACCACCACTGAAGACCAGGGAGTACTGGAGAGCTTTTTCATCCTGGTTTGGGAATCATCTTCAGTACGCACCCACTGGGGTTCAAACCCAGGACTTTCAGGTTACAAGTCGACCTAGTATACCATTCAGCCACTGGGACCCAATTCAATGGCCAGATATTTTCTTTGTATATGCTTTTGTCTATAGGAACGTGACTCTTATTTTATGTTCGGTATTTCAGTTGATTAAACAGAGAAAATCAGTAAGTGGAATTTAATGAAGGCTAAATAGACTTTAGTGTATTGTTCATATAATAGATTTGAAGATGACATTCGTCAAAGTCGTCAGCCTGATTTTATTTATATTTCTGAGGTTCCTTTCCCCTTCTTCTACTTCCATGAGGCAAATAATTAACTCATTTTGATGCATTGTACAGCTGTGTTGACATTTTAGCTGATAAATTTTATTTGTAAGAATAGTAAGTAACAGTAATAATAATAATAGCAGCTTTTTCTGGGGAAATTTAATGAATGGAGCGGTTTAATAATTTATCCTGTATTTCCCACTTGTCGGAGGTGTTGCATCACCGTAGTGTATAGATTTGACTGAATAACATTGTCTAATCTGTCGCTCTCACTGCTAGATACATTGCCATTGATATACAAATATAAGACCTAAGTCTGAAGGTTACTAGGTAGCCAATGGAACCCCATCAGTAAATATGAAGCTGGATTATTAGTCTGTCTCTTCAAACAATAGTTTGATGAAGTGTATTGATTATATTTAAGATTTTAAGTTCACTTACAGTCTCCAATCGATGATTATTACCGTCTTAAAGGTATCAAAGTGGCTCAGATTACCAGTCAGTGACTTCAATAGGTGGTTTCATGTTTTGATTTGACCACCTTAAATGAATTAACAGTTTTTTTAAGGAAAGACGGCAGTTTGATATCTGTAACATCTTCACAATTTAATCAATGGGTTTGCGCTCCTTACCTTGTTATTGCCAAGTATATTGCTCCACGTAAAATAAACGATATAAAAAGTGATATAATTATAACCATTTAAATTATGGGCTCAATACTGTAAGGTAGTTAACAAGACGGATTTAAGTCGTTTCATAGCTTAGTGTATATCAAATCAAGAATTTTGCAGCACAAATACAAAATTTACTGGTAATTACTGAAACTGTTAACTTTAAAACACAATTTTCTATTCATTAAATAGTACGTTAAGTCAACGAAACTACGCATTTAAACAGAACTTGTTGTGAAGATAAAGTCGATTGCTTTCTGGATGGTCTTAATAACTGCATTAAATTATCAGATGAGTTAGTTTTTCTTCCATCGTTGTATCTTAACTTTGTACTTTATACTTCTTTAGGGAGTAAATAGAATTCACCGAAGCAACACTTTGCCAGGAAATGCTTGCAGAGATTCACAAGATCCTTCGATATCTACTGCCCGTTTTTTGCGTGGAGGCAGTCTACCAAGATTAAAAGAAGACAACCGTGTGAAAAAAAGTATTCCGTTCTCTGAAATTAGCTCAACCTCAGCATCAAAATTATACGATAAACGTCATCGTAATTTTCATAGGAGAAACGCAAAGGTAGATAAGCTGAGGAGTTCTTCAAATTCTTACACGGACATTAATCAATCCCTAATTAATCCACCATTTAGAAATTCCCTAAGACTTATCAAATTAAACAGACTGAACAGATATTCATCTGGACAAATAATTAAAACTGATGATCAAAACAACTCGGCCGGTTTCTCATACCATCCACCAGAAGCAGATAAAACATGCAGCGATAATGAATTATTTCTGGTAAACAGTGTTATCAGCTGTGCTCAAGAGCGACTGAGTGAATTGCAAAATCAAGTTTTACAATATCATGCATACAATGTAAAGTTATTAGAACAGTTAACACATATCAAATCGTAAGTGATATCCTTTTTTTAACAATCTAAGTTGATTTAACAATGAAAAAAGTCCATATCTTATGAAGATCTGGTTTGTGGTTATTACTATTATACTATTGTTTCCTTTAGTTCCCGGAGGAACATAGAGCTTTAGATGCACGTCTAAATAGCGTACGGTTCTCCGCCAACGTTTTCTCCTGGTTCCATGTCTGCCTACATGCTTTCATCTCCTCTTCACATGACCTCCTCCATGTCATCCTAACACTGACAAATAACTCGCCACTTCCCATTCAGATTCCATTCGAGAGAGAGAGCCTGGTGTATGATCTCACTCAATTAATGGTTTTCTCAGAGTATGGCCAATCCACCTCCACTTCTTCCTGCATATTTGTTGCGCAATCGGTTCCTGCTGGGTTGGTTCTTATAATTGCCAGAGATCCCTGTTGCTAATCTTTTCTGGCCATTTAATCTTGAGTAATGAGTGAAGACGACTGTTTACGAAGGTCAATAGTTTGTTTGAGGTGCTCTTCATGACGCGCCAATTCTTTGATCTGCACAGCAGCACTGACTTCACATTGTAGTTGAAAATCTGGATCTTATTTTTCATGCTGAGTTCTGTTGATCTCCACACAGACTTGAGAGTTGAGTTGAGAGAGTTGCTTTGCTTGTGGTTGTTAATTCTTGGTTATATTTAAACTTGGCAAATCAGGGTACATCGGATAGTATGATGACCATTCAGGTAACAGGTAATTCTTAGGCTGCTAAAAGATCCTAAATATGATGTCCTTGAAGTGATTCTTGTTGCTTTTCAGATTTTTGTTAGAACTCAGTTCTTATGCATTGATCGTTTCTAATACATAGTTATAAGTCAGCTGCTCTACTGATGGTTGAAGCTAGTTTTTCAGTAGTATATCATGATGAAAAACAGGCGCAACGCACGTCCTTCAAAACAATTGTGATTAACAGTTTAGTGATCATATACTTCATTAAAATTGAGTTGTGATGTTGAATGATTTAATTAGATAAGAAGAACACCTTATACCTACATTTCATGGTTATTCTCATTTTCAAGAGAAATGATTTTTCTTCTGACACTGTAGTCCCCACAACACGGAAGACCAGTGAAAATGACGATTTTAGTATGTATTTTTCATTTTTTTTTATTTTTGATTACAGCTTCATTCCATACCGTATTTTTTTTTGGTACAAGTATGGAATTCTCAGCGTGGATATCGGTAGCCCAAATTTCGCAAACCGACCATCGATATCAGGTGTGCATCGGCGTAGGCTCGAACCCCGGACCATGTGCATGGTCGGCGAAAGTCCTAACCACTGTGCCACCGACGCATACATAATTCCCGTATGTGTATATCGAATTGGAAACAAATATTCCGTCACCAACCACTGTGGTGTCCTGTCACTACAGTCCCATTTCAACACCGAATAACACAGATCTAAGTTTTTGAGTTCAAAATTGTTTTGTGTGTTTTATTTATTAATGGCAGCACTTGTTAAAGGTAGATAAATCTGGGGTTTCCGTATGAATGACAGTCTAAAAAACGCTGGAATTATTTTATGTAATTTCATGGTGTTTCAATCTGACTCGGTGCTCATATTATTCCAAGAAATTCGTAACAACTATGGTCTGGATGCTTACAACCTAAAACCATTTCAACAGCTTAATTAGTTTTATTGTTAAATTAATGTAAGTAATTACGATTATTGACCAGTGTTTCTTATCCTAAACAGGCTAAAAGATACACGCGCTTCCTGAATTTACGTGGGTGTTTAGCTTAATAAATTTTTCTAGACTACATATTTCATTGTCTCAACTATTTTCAGTTTTAAAGCAACCAACCAATTTATAATTTTTATTGTGATACATATATACATTCAAAAACTATAAGGAATTATTTAGTTTATTACGTATTACTGACAGGTATAATAAATAGGAATAAATGAAATGAGGTAACTGTTATTCATATTATCAGATGAGTTAGACATACCAACAGTAGTAGTGATTGAAGAACGTAAGACACACTTACAAATGCACTTACAAAAAATCATTGTTCTGTCAGGACGCATGCACACACACACACTCAAAACACAGGCGAAAAATCCTGAAAACTAACATAACCAATATTAGTGCAGTTTTTACTGTTAGAACCTCATCTAGTTTACTAGCTTGCTAGTTTTCTACCCAGTCTCAAGCCTGGGAAAACAGAAAGGGTTGGATGTGGGGTCTAGAGATCCTACCCCGAAAAATTAGTCAAACTGCTTTAGAAACTTCAACACACAAGGGAAACATTAAAAGTAGAAGAAAATATCAAAAACAAACATTTTTCTCTGGAATTGGAGAGATCAAATTTTGCGGGCTGGTGAAAGCCTTCACGAAGCTAGTCAGCTAGTCGCTGTGCTGTTTTTTTCGATGAAAGCGAGAATAAGAATGCGGACGTGGAATATCCGTACGATGGCGAAAGCTGAGAAAGCTACTTCGATGGCCAAAGAAATGCAAAGATATGGCATAGAAGTTCTAGGGATCTGCAGTGGCATTTGAAATGGATGTGAGCTCTCCAAATTATTAGCTGGAAAGTTAGTAATCTACTACGATTACCCAGACGACAACGACGAGAAAACTGAGGCAGTAATTGGTTATCATGATGTCACTAACGGAAGCATCTTCATTGTCTACATCTTCTCTAAATTCACCGGAGGCCCTGTTCTTGCTGCTTATTTTGAGAGCCTTTTGGTCTTCACCTGTAGGTATTCGTGTTTATGCGACAGTAGACACTAGTTCGCGAAGGTCGCATCTTCTGGAGTCTTCTTGTTGGTCAATCTAGGGTATTCCGGTTTTTCCACTACCTGCAGTCCAATGCTCAATCCAGTCCACCACAATTAGGAATATCAACGGTCACAGTAGACAGTCTCGCCTCCTTTTTGTCTGCACTTAAAAGGCTTAGTGGCTAGGTTTTCCGTTGTGAATCATTGTCATTTAGCTGTCGAATGAATTTGGTAAGGATTTGGGACACTGTTGTTTTGAAGTAGTTTCCAAACAACTTCATGGCCAAGGCTGTCGAAGGCCTCTTCATTACTCATGAACCTGAGGTAGAGATTTGGCTACTTGACATTTATCCTTTACCATTTTTCAAAAATTAAAAGAGTTCTAAACAGACTTAGAAATAAGTGGAGATAGTGTAGGTATTCTTAAAGTGTAAACTAGCGTGTGCATGCGTTAATCTCCAATGTCTGATAGGAAGAAAAGCAAGTAAGCTATCACATACTCATCAGTAAACTTCCCTATGGTGTTTGAAAATCAATGTCAAATAGTTTTTTATCAATTCGTACTTCATTCTCAGATAAGGTTAGCTTTCGAGTTTTATTACCAATAACTTAAATTGAGAAATATGTGATCGGTAGATGATACAAAATTAGATATATTGAAAACTTGCTCATTGAGGATATTGTGTGGGTCGTGCTGTATAATAAATTGTTAGATCACAGTCATGTATCTTATAGTACCTCAGTGGTTGAATGACAGTGTAACTACCACGAAAATTGACTGCGTTTTAGCTTGGTCTTTCTGATGCAGCTGGCTGCGAACTGCTTACTATTCTTTGATCTTTGATATCTCCTAAATTAACACCAGTTTGTAGCGAAACAACCAGTTTGAAAGCACTTTTTGAAATTATTTCCAATTCCTGGTTGACTGATTTTACTTGGTTAAAATGCTTAGTCTCTGTCGACTGGTCAACTCCTCACGTGGAGACCCTTACCATGCCTTGAGATTATTCTAGTGTTACTTGGTCTAACGTGGCTACCAAGAGAAGTCAAAAACTCTTCATTCAACTATGAAACTACTAGTTAATGTCTTCTTCATCACACAGTGTGTCCGACTAAACATGGGAAGTTCTTAACGAATATACGAAGTGAAACAGCGAAAATCATATTGGCCTCTGTGTACTAAACTTATTGTGTTTTTTCAGTGTGTCAGAAATACAGCCTAATCACTTTGTATGTGTTTTTCCAGCTGCTCTAAGTGTAAAACTACATGTAACATAGACTACAGGTTATTCATCATTTGATCTGCAAAAATGTCTAAGAAATAATTTGATAATATGCGGCTGCATGGGAGGAAGTCTTTTATAACATAGTCTGTCTTCTTCCAGCTTGTGTCAGTAACACCATCAGTGTTATATCATCATGCAATTACGATTTATGCATAACCAAATGCGTCTGTCAGGTGGTGTAAGCTACATCTCAGGTAGTAAATCTTTTCCATTCACAACAAAATGAATAAAGGTTTACGATCGAAGATGTAAATGTTTCTTGTTTAGTAAAGCCATAACGGTGATTTCTCTTTTGATTATGACTCAAACTTCTCAAAAAATATTTTCATTTGACTACTACCATTTCTTCACATAATTTTATTTTTCAGATGTCAAAATGAAATATCACATAAGCTTGAAGAAAGGTGTAGAAATGATGTCTTACAATCACAGGTAATAAATTATTCAGCAATTGAGTGACTCATTTTTAAAAATGACTGTCTATAATGACCAAACAGTGTTCATTTCTGGCTTGATATTTCTGGAATATAAGGTAGCTCTGGTTTTGTTTTCAGTGAATGGCGTTGCTTGTCTCTTTCTGGGTCTTTCAAATTTTCTAGGGTTGCTACTGGTTATAAAACTAGGTGAGGTTGAGGAATTCGTTGTGGCGGTCCTACACCTGTCAAGTGGCAGGAGATCATTTTTCACTATTAAATCACCGTCACACTTCCTATTGTTTTGTGTTAAGTGTCCATGATTTTCCCTAAATAAATAACTCATTTCGACCTCACTGACAGTCAGAGCATATTATTTTCCCCAGCATTCTACTAGTTGTTCGACTTATTCCAATAAATTAAATAAGTCTCACACTAAGAACATTAGTTTATCATACATGGTGTAGTAATTTATTTTAAATAGTTAAAATTGCTTCTTATCCCTGTTGTCGCCCAATAAATATTGCTTATCAGGTTATATTACACTAGTTTTGGCTTTCTGTACATAATCTGGATTTACGCTTTTGTCTGAATTTCACAAAGTACATTGGAACAATTCTGGATTCTGGATTTTTTTAAAATTATAGCTAGTATACTTATTTCGGTACCTTTCTGATCTGTTTTACCTATCTCTATTCTATATTTAATCTCCCTATTCTCTTACTTTTCAATGTTTTTTACATAGCATGCATACCAACGACAACGTGGACGGATAAAAGATATCAAGAGTAAACTTCTGCAAGAATATACAAGATCTAGGAATTTAGTAGTACAGTTTCATAATTTAAGGGTGCCTATCAAGTATACATCTCCAAGGGAATCAATAAATAATCTTGAAAATAATTGTTACAGTCCAGAGAACAACAGTATCGGTTGTATTAACATTTCTAGTAATGATAGAGATGATTTGAACAAATATAACAACAACATTGCCCTCACAACTTTTCATGTGAGTTTAACGTAAAATTCTAGCTTTTGTACTTTTTTCACTGTTGCCTTATTGATTATTTTCATCTATTTTCAAAATATGCAGGAAATAATATTTTGAGAGCTTTAGTTTCATTAAGAAAAGAAAGAGACCTAATTTTTGTGGTTGTAGTTTGACTTTTCATGCACGAGTACAACTAACGTTTGAAGATTTATATCATTTAGATCATAAGTGCTTCCAAAATTGTTAAATAGTATTATCACTACTATTTCAGTCCTAATGTGTTTTTCACTTAAACTGATTACTTTTTTCCAGTAATTATGTCTGAACAAATCAGTTATGAAAGACAACTAACTCTTCCCTCGCTAAATAGCATTTTTTAAAAACTGAGTTGTTCAGCTTTCAGTTAGACGTCGCAACACGATATGAACTACAGAATCAGTGCAAGACAAGCGACATTGGATATCAATACCTATAAGAACACTACATTATTGTTCAGTGATATGCAAAGTTGATAAGTGACACTCAAACGACATGAATATTTTTTAAGTGTGTAATCTTTGGACTTACCCTTGTGAGAACTTTTGGGTGGGGGGGATAAATAGTTGAAATTATTAGACGATTTATTCTTATCAGGTGCCGCTAGTGCTGAGGCACCTGTCTAGGTTGTGATAACTAAATAGCCTTTCCTAAAACGGTAAAAAAACATGCAGCTATGAAGCAGAAATATCCTCAACTTGGCTAGAACTCCACGTATTTGTTAAGAGAAGATATAACTAAACCGCATACTTGAGATTTACGGCAATACTCATCCTGAAGTAGCCTGGCGTCAAATTCACTCAGCTGTAGAAACAGTGGTAAAGCATGTTGATAACACGAAACCAAAGGTCAGTAAGTTCCAGTGGGTTCCTGCTACTTTATCCAAAGTGAGAGACACAAGAAAACCAATTCCAATAAGCTCCGAATATAATGAGAAGTGAAAGCTGTTCAAACGCGAGGTGACTAAATGTCACCGCAACAGTGTTGGGGAACAAAAAAAAGACGAGATTGAAAGGTCATCGGCGCTTGTTAGTGCACCAGACAACTATTAAGACCCATTAAGACAACGGGTTGTAAAACTGAAATGTAAGTGAAACAACATCCGATGTGGTGTTAGTCGACTTTAGAGACTTGTTACAAGTCCCGTCGACATAGAGTATGAGGGTGATGCTGTAATTCTAGCTAAAGATGCTGACAAAGTTCTTCACACCTCGAGAAGAAATCTTGGTATGCTCAGTATGCATTTTGCCCCTGCTAAACGCAAGATGATGCTGAAGGACTTGTCTGCACTTCCTCCTAATTCAAAGAAAAGGAGTAAAGTGGTTCAGCTTGTCGACCACTTCACACTTAATTGGAAGTTGCATCAGCCCTAATGTCGGATTCTCGACAGTTTCAACACCAATACAAAGGGCTAGTGTGGCATCAGCCAGTTTACTTCAACTCCGACACAGACGTGAGTGCAGTTATCGACACAAAGGATATGCACACAGAGCACCAATTCGCCCTGTTGCTCTTTATGGCTGTGGAACATGACCATTTGAAGTGGAGGATATAATGCAGCTCGCTACTTCTTACCATAAATATTCGCTTACTATCCCCCGTTTTGAGTGGGAGAATATGGTGAGCGATATTCAAGTCGGGCGTTAAGCGTCAGATAGGGAGAGGAAGTCAATCGGTGAGGTTGTGAAGCTATATAGACTGAGATAAATAGGACAGATATTGTGCAGGTCGAGCCACCGCCTTCTTCGTTGAGGAATGATGTTAGTGACATAGAGTTGAGTCGAAAATAACTAAAGGTAAAAGGGCACTTGTCTTTCTTTTCTAATCCTGACTGTTTTTGAAATCCTCAGGTGTGACCACTAAGCATAGACTTCCTAATTGGACTAATACCTCGTGTATATAGAAGTTTAACTGTTTCTGCAGAACTGACTTATTTATCATGTACAGTGAGAACTGCCTACAAATGTGTGAAAAACCTGTTCACGCAGTTGCGTGCAGAGGTGAAAATTTCTAAAGACTACTCGCACGCACTATTGACACAAATACATCTTAGGAAATATTAAAAAGAAAGACGGTTGCAGCGAAGAAAATTTTCTGTTCGACGAAGTCATCATCTAGACTGTACATTCTTGTATTTATAGTAAGTAGGTGAGAAAGTTCCAGAACTATTTCCAGTCAAGGGTCAAATTAATAAGAATACGAATGTAATCAACATGAAGATCCAACTAGGAATTCCAAAGACAGTCCTCTCAGAAAGATCTCACTGAACACACGGAGCTTGAGCTGACAAAAATATTGAAGAAAATGGAAGATGAATCCATTATTGGCACGAAACTTTACGAACAACTTAGTCCATCTGGTTCTACAACGCCACGCATGTCAAGGCTTATCCAAGATTCTCCATATTGTTTAATCACTAGTAGAGATTCTCGGGCCAGTGAAAGAAAAGCTGTCGAGACACAACCTCCAGGACACATTCGATTTTGTCGATCCCATTGCGAATGTCGACTTGGCAGATAGGAAAATGGTCTCCCTAGATGCTTTTCTCTTCCCCAATGTTCCACTGACAGACCCTGTGAGCTCTCTTTGTGACTTTGTTCTGTCTAATAGCACCAATGTTGGTATATCAATCCATTATCAAAAGGAGCTGTTACTACGACGCACCTTCAACGTATATTTTAGATTCAAAAAAGAATTATACACACAAATAGATGGAGTGGCAGTCTGTTCAAATTTGTCTTCACACTATTATTATTTCATAGTTAATCCGGTTGACGAGCATGAATCGAATAACGATGAAATTCTTTGTATCCTGAAATAGATGACAAATTATTTCTTAATGCTTGACCAACTCTTTTAATGCTGTTGTATTTATTTCAGCTTTTGTTTTAAACCAAGGAAAAGGAAGCAACTAGAGATTATATTACCCCTACCTGATAACTATTAATCATGGAATGATGACCAGATATCGCTTTTGTAGACTTTTTAATGAGGAATTTAGAAAGTGTACCACTTTCGCGGATAATTGCAAGAACTGAAATATCAGTTATGTAGAGGAGAGAATGGTGTAAGATTTTACCCCTTGAGTAGAAGTATTCCTGAAATTTGGTTCCCAGTCATGAGTTTTCTGCATTTATCATTTGTCTGTAAGAACTAATTGAAATAACAGCAAACATTTAAATCTCCTTTTCTGAAAATATTGAAGCACTTAAAGGTTGATAAACTACTTACTGGTCATTTAATTAAAAATGTATTCACGTTATTGCCTTATATATGATATGATCTGCAAAGGAAGGTTGGTGTAACGACTGCTTTGTTCATAACATGCTGTCATGAACATTGCCAGCAGATGATTGCTTTCAAGTCATTGAGAAGCTGTTGAGCTACTTTGGTATGTATACGAAAAAATATCCATATATATATATGGAATTGTATGGAATTGAATTCAGATTTCTGTAGCTTACTGTGGTGACTTTCAAGTTAACAGAGAAGTAGGAAAGATATCTGTGAAATTATTAATAGTCATGTTTGATATCAGGAAACCTTTAAGCGGGAGTTATTTTTGCGTTTCAACCCATATAACATGATAATTATTCACATTTATAAGTTCTCTCCACTCATCTGACTATGTTAATTCATTTTTTTCGATTTCGCTCCACAGCCCATCGAAGGTATTGGTAATATTGTACATAGCAGAAAAATAACTTGCAATACACTTACTCCTGAAAGGTAAATTTATGTAATAACGTTCGACCACAGTATTCCTAAATGCTTCATATTCAATTGGGCCATAAATAACTGTTTATTTTCTTTTGAATAATTTATTTCGATATTGATTTGCTCGGTTAATAATAACAATAATAATAATAATAATGCTTCTTTGTTGCAAGGTGGAAGCAGTGTTCTCTTTAAACAGTTTGTAAAAACTTCATGAAACACAGTATTAGATGGTTGGAGGCAATCGGCATGAAACCTCGGACCTAGGTATCGTGCTAGTTGGCACTCATCAGCAAGGTGTATCTGCAACCTTGAAGGAATTTATGACCCTTCTGAGATTCGAACCCGCGTCACCCAGTGCTGCAGTCAGAGACGTTACCACAAAGCTATTTGGGCTCGCGATTAACCTCCTGTAGGGCTGTAGTGGATATTTTGATTGGACACTAATAACTATTATGATGTGTCTAGTCCTTTCTTTGGTGCAGACTGAATTCTGTCAGTCAGGCTTTTAATATGGCCACCATTCTAGGTAGCTCGCCATCACGGTGCACATTGACTTGATGATATTAGATGGTTGAAGGCAATCAGCAGGAAGCCTTGGACCTAGGTTTCTTGCTAGTTGGCACTCATCAGCAAGACAGTATTCAGCTATAAAGACTTACGAGAAGTCTTCCACAGGCATCTGACATCACTTTTACAGTAAACATACCCTTCAAATTATGGAACAAAATTGAAGATATCGGTTTCGCATCAGGTAGTGAAACCACCTTGTTAACTGCATTTTGAAATAATGGAGGAAATTTGTAGTACAGGTGGATGGTTTTGATTTAGTTGTGTGGTTGTTAATTTACATCTCTATTGATCATTTTTATTGATTTGGAACTTAAACTTATCTGTTATGTGATTCGTATTTTATTCGTTGGTAAATTTAGTCTGTAGTAATGTTTTTAATCACTGAAGACAATGGAAGAAAAATATCCATTAACCTTTCTTCAAAAAGAATGAATGCCCACACAATTTCATCAAAAAGTGTTCAAACTGAAGTCGTAACACCAACAAGAAACCATCGTCAAAGACCACAACAAAATTCACTTTACCATATATAAAAAATATCTCTGGAATAAAACATTAAGGCTGCTTAAAATGGATATAGCACACAAGCCAGTCCAATCACTTCATTCGATATTGTACAGACTGAAAGATCCAACAGAAAAAGATAAAATTTAAAAAAATTTACAAAATAAGTTGTGTGAACTGCAATAAACATTACATTCGTCAAACTGGGCGTCTCCATCGAATCCGAATCCAAGAACATAAATCAACTGTAAAAAGTCACGATATGTATTCTTTAGTATCAGTGCACGTAGATAAATACGGAAACGAATTTCATTGGGATAATGTAGAAATCTTAAACATAAAAAGTATGAAAATGCCAGGGAATTTCTAGGAGTCTGATACTCAAATGAATCACTGATTAACAAACATATTGCTATATACTAAATTTACCAATAAATAAAATACGAATCACATAACAGATAAGTTTAAGTTCCAAGTCAATAAAAATGATCAATAGAGATGTAAATTAACAACCAGTCACCACAATGGTTGTTTTTTATTCCTTCACGTTCCCCAGTGGAACATAGGGCTTCAAGCTGGTGGCTTGAAGTTTCTGTAGCAGTGTTTATTTTACAGGATGGGGTTGCTAGCCTCATGCCCAACCTTTCCTCTTAACCATCCTTACTTGGTCGGCGAGCGTCCTAACCGCTACGCCACCGACGCACACAATGGTTGTCAGGGAATACAAATAAATATCATTCATGGAAAATTCAAATAATTTCATTTCATGCCAACACCTACACTGACGATGTTGTCTAGAAGGACAATGAAAGCTCTGCAATCAAATCAGCCAACTCAGAGAACACAACTAAATCAAAACCATCCAAATGAACTACAAATTTCCCCCATTATTTCAAAATTCTGAAGTAATATACAGTTGTGGATAAGATATTATGTGTAACCATGACCATTTTTTCAGTATATTTGGTAAAATCGTCTACTATGACATTAGTAAACATATGAATATTTTCTGATCATGAGACAGTTTGAGATTTTTTGACTGCAATCGATTTATCGAGTGATGAATATAGGTTAAATGAAAATCTCGGCCACATCAGTATGGGAACGTCAAAATTACTGGTCTGGTGCTCTACCATCTGATTTATGAGATCCAGTGATTACTTAAGCTATTACTTCACGAGTAGTATTCAGTGGTATGTTTATTGTCACACCAGTTGGCCACTTAGTTCTTCTGTCAATTCGAATGAGACTGAAACATGAAGGAGAAAAGTGCATTGTTCACTGATGATGAAGCTATTTGAGACGCTTAAAACTATGCCGTGAATAAATTTATCTGTAATTCAATAAAATCCTTTTCCTAATGTTTACTGGAAATTTTTTCTCCACTAAAACATTTGGTTGAAGATGTAATCTTTGGGAAACATATTCCAACCGAGATGTATATCAGTACTGTGAAATCATTTTTAACTTTTATTATTATTATTGTTGACTTCTTGTCACGTAAATGTTGTCATACGTAATAGCGTTAGCAACTACAATCTTTAATACTATTTTTTTTTATAAATTTCACAATTATTGCTTTAGTCTAGTGAACAGTAGCGTAAACACTGGACAGGAAATTATGAAGCTCAGGAAACAAAAACTCATAATTTATGATGCTTATCAGTGTCATTACCAAAACATAATGAAACGATTAATGGCTTACCAAAGAACTGTTACTAAACAAGTGAGTCTCCAGTTTTACATAATACATCAGTTTAACTGAAAAATTGCTGTTCACTGATGCTTTGTCAATGAAACGTTCCACTTTGTGTTAGTACAAAGGTGGTTATGAAAAGATTGAAACTTACATAAGTTCAGTCAAGCAAAGGGACTGATTATATATATCCTGGTCATAGATATTACGAATTTCCTGAAATAATTTTGAGCGCTTGAGTCAGAGTGAATCACTATGTAGTTGCTTAAAATCCCAGTGTATTTAGAAAAAAAAACAAGAACTCCCCAGACGTTTTTTCGTGTCTTCTTCGTCTGAATTCATCGGATTTTATCAAACATCAAGATATATAATCGATCAATAGTAGTAGTAAACTTATTTGAAGATATTTCGTCAGTAAATACATGTACCAATTGAAAAAATGCAATATCTTAATGATAATATCAAATTGCCATTGTTAAAATGTTATTGCAAATTTCTGTCTGTATGTGTGTATATGTGTTGTTTATTGTATGAAGAAATCGTTATTATCACAAGTGATAACTGAATGCTAAAAATATATCAACGAATACACTTTATCTATCTTGTTTCGTTGGAATCTGATAGATAGGTGATAAGTCTTTGTCTTCTTTCCCACTTATCTCATGCAATATGGTTAAAATAGACAAGGCTTCAGATATCAACGTTTCTTTATGTTAGTGAAAACCTTTTCCTAAAACTCCGTAGCTGCCATAATCAATCTTGTTCCAGTTTCTTGAAGCATGCACTACAATAACTTATCTTTTCCCCAGACACTAATTCTACTTCACCAGTCTGTTGCTTTCTCTTATACGGCAAACTTCCCATTCTGAACACTTTATCTTATCAACACAATTGTTTCATGTCATTGCAGGAGAAATATCTGTGACACTAACTAAAACTTTCTATTAAGAGATTATAAAGGCTTGGGGGTAAACTATAACACCATATAAAGTAAATGTTCTTTGAAGTTATTCTGCCATGTTTTTTCGATGTGTAATGGCTATCATCTTCTATAAGAGGGACTTTTCTGGTTTCTTTTTCTTCCTACTATTCCCAAACAACGTCTTCAACAAAGATATCAGGGAGAAAAAGGAAAACAGAGAAATCTCTCTTATAGAATATGATAACCATTACACATAGAAAAGACATAAGAGAACAAATTCAAAGAGTATTTACTTCATATGACGGTAAAGTTACCTTCTGTGGTAAAGGACTTTTCATTCTTTTTCATCAACAGTAATGTCATTCTTGCCCTCTTGTGTTATAAACCTTTGCAATTAATTATACTGGTCTTCGGGTACATTTTTCATACATTTTTACGTGTCTTTCTCCGTCATTTACTGGACTCACTGGTGTGTTGGAATTCAAAAACAACTTTAAACAGATTATGCATGACTACTCGCTATACTTCATATAATAGTTTGTATCAACAGAAATAACGCTTTGGATTCTTGTGCTGATAATACAAGTTTACACATGTAATATGGCGAAACTTGCTTTGGAACTAAAATTACATATTCGTTACAATTGTCAGCAGACTCGTAGCCTTAGTTAAACAGGATTTCTACTCTCTCTCTCTCTTAGTTTCAGAGCTGAACGCAACATCACTTACGTCTAATAAGAAAAGGATGTAAACAGCTAAGAGAATTTTCTTTTCGAGGATTAATTTTCATAAGGTAATAAAAAGAAGCAATATCATAGTAAGAACTTTACTCTAGCCGCGTACGACAAGTGAATGTATGTAACGCTTTTGAATGCAGAGGTCCGGTTTCATATCCCGAACAAATAATGTTTTAGCCATTTACAGATGGCGTATGCGAAGTCCCTTTGTACGAAATTGAGGGACTTTGTGTAGCACTGTAGGGCGGGGGTTTTCGATGTCCGGAGATGACAAGGTGTCCGAGGATGGCATTGTTACTAATCTTCTTTTCTCCTCTGGCTAACCAAGCTGGACAATATTCAAGAATACGTTTGTGGATTTGACGTTGCTTACGGTCGATATACTTTGCTCCACGCGAACAAGTAAATTGATAAATACGCATTGAGGTGGCCAAAAGCGTTATCTTATCCTTAACTTTAGACTGGATTAACTGTCTCTTGGAGAATGTGATACGTTAGTTGACTGCTTGAACTGTCATCGCCCGACATTTAGAAAGGTGGTTTCTCAGGTCATAAATTCAAGGGTACTGGATGCCAGTTATCACTGAAAAATGGAGGGAATAATACTGTTTATTTTTTTAGGATTGCTCAATTTAAATCATACTAGCCAGAACTATTGATAGCAAAATTCCTTTGTGTGTCTATACATCAAATCCATGTAGATATTTATCACTACCCTAATCACAAAATATAATCTCACTTATACCCTAACGTTTTATTTGTAATTTTCAATGGAAGTTGTTACATTTTTTGTTATTGCTTACTACAATCTTATCAGTCGGGAGAACTGTTTGAAGTAAACAGGAGTATTATGAAGATAAAAACAGGCAAAAACAACAACACTGTTTACTGTTTTCAAAATATGCACTTCTTAACAACACTAAATGATTAAGAATCTCAATGCTGCGCTCAGTTTGCTGACATATGTGTTATAGATAGACGAAAGCACTGTATTTCATCGTAGATTTGAGTCTTATGCTTCTCAGGAATCATTTAGAAGACGTTTCTACAAACTTAGTGATACTTTGCAACACTCATATGTATGAAGATTGTTGGGTGGTTGAAAGCAATCAATGGGAGACCCCAAACCTAAATTTCAACCTTAATTAATACGTACCAGCAAAGCATACCTGAAAATTTGATGTGGAAATTGTGATCTGCCAGAGATCCACACCCGTCTCATCCTGGACCGCATTCAGTGACGTCACCACTGCAAACACTACTCACCTCCTTGAAACTGTCAGCGGATACATTGATCAGCAACTAAGGAGGAAACAATTTCATGTTTCTTAGTGTAACTGGCAACCATAAATTAAGAAACTCTATCCGAATATCGTGAAATTAAATTTACTTCAAATACTTTTTCTTCGTACGTAAATTGTGACAATGTCTCATCACAATTTCCTTCAATGTTATCATGGGTAAGAAAAGGCGGTTTTAACTGGCTTTAAATTCCCATTACAAATTTCAGAGACTGATCAATGAACAAAGAATATTCTTTCCGATAACATCGTTATCAGGTTCTACAGTTATGTGTTCCTAATAATTAATGAAATCTTTATGTTAACAGAATAAATCTTTCGATTATTGGTTAGTAGAAATTTTGTTTCATTGGTTGAAGGATTTCATCATTAGCTGAAATCTGTTAGAGAGCCATTGGAAAACCTGGGATCACTGAACAGCTGTTTCGTACTGGTTTGGGACTCTTCGTCAATACGCATCCGCCGCCAGGGTTCGAATCCAGGACCTTTTAATTACAAGGCGAGGTCGCAGACCATTAGGCCATTGGGACCTGGTTTAAATTTCGTTGAATCAATAGTATCGACAAATCGCACTTCAAAAGCATCTGTAAGAAATAATATGAATCAGTATAACACTAGACTGAACATCAGATAAATTAAGGAAAGTAACACAGAATTTATGTATTTATAGGTTCCACAACATGACAGGATATCAATAGTGCTTGAAGGTGTCTCTTTCGCACACACAACTCCAGTTGTCTTAAGCGAATTGCAATAGCCTGATTGCTGTGTCCAGGATGTAGAGGCCATTGTTAATTTATTCAGTATTCGATAGATGATAGGAAAACACTCTTCGAAACTAGATTTGTGTTGTGTTTGAAAGAAGTGGTTTAATATATAACTGTTGATGGTTTTCACTACAACTATATTCTATCCTAATTTTATCTCATATTTAGTTTAGTATTGTACTCGTCCATATCACTTACATATGTTTCAGAATTGTAATCTCTCGATATTGTTGGTTCAGTATGACTTAAAACATTTTTGTTGTTATTAACAATGATGCTTTAATTACTAGGTTCACGTAACTGTAGAACCTGATAACCAAGTTGTCGAGATGAATATTTCTTGTTTACTCCTCAGTCTTTTAAAGACGGCTTTTTTCATGGAAGAAATATTCATTTTCACTGCTTTATTTTGAAACTGTACAGCCGTATTTTTATCATGAATAAAGTAAGTAAATGGCAGTAAAAGTTGCTCAGTCAATGTATATATATATATATATATATATATATATATATATATAATATGAATGTTAAGAGTGTAAAGCTAAGTTGGATAAATTACAAAATTTTTAAAGATTATTATGTAAATGAACGGATATAGGTGTTTCATATAATGTCAGGTAGTGTCGAAATTGGGAGTGAAACAATGATCACATTAAACAAGGCCAAAATGAATTGAAGTGAGATGCATTTAACCAATAAAATAAAATTAAGGATATTAGTACGACCAAGGTAGGGAAAAGGCTTAACAAAAGTCTTTGAATGCATACTTTAGGTTTTTGTGTATATACAGCTCGAGTTTTGGCTATACATAAGTGAAAACGTGAACTTTTCGAGTGACTGAATTTAGCGTTGCTGATAACTTCAAAGGATAAATCACATGAAACTGGAAAGTATATGCAGATAGGAAACCTTACCATATGAAGTTTATCTTTCACCAAACAAAACATGTAGTGTTCACCTGAACGTTTTCGGTATACGCGCTTAAAACCTCCAATGCAATCAGCTCTACAGGAGCTTGTAAAACACCCGATGTCCATAGAGGTAGGAACAAATAGTGGTGTTCTCACTCACTGTTGAACTTTATCTTCGGCTTGAGAATACCGGGTGCAAATCAGTGGCACAAAAAGAGCATTTCGTACACTTGAATGGATGACATTTAATCATTCAAGCAATGGCGTCACCTTTGAATGCCACCAAACGTATGAGTATCGTCTTCTATAGCACTGCTATGTGTCTAGGAATGACTTCTTCCTTCGTACTTGTTTCAATAAACGGTCTACAGTATCCATTACATAGGATTATA